GAAAAAAATAAAAAAAAGAAACCCAAGGAACATCAACGATTTTAGCCTCTTCGGGCCCTCCTGGAGGACCTCTCGGAGGCCTCTTGGGCCGTCTTGGAGGCCTCTTGGGCACCTCTTGGGCCGTCTTGAGTCGTCTTGGAGGTTTCTTGGGCGGACTTGGAGGCATCTCCTCCTCTCTTGGGCGGACTTGGAGGCCATCGGAGGCCATCTTGAAGGCCATCTTGGGCCAACGTGACCGTCTTGGAGGTCATCTTGAGCCGTCTTGGAGGATTTTTTTCCTGAATTGAGCTCCTGGGCAATCCTCCCGGGACCTTGGCGGGACGGGCCGAAGCCCCAGGGGAAGTCCGCCGCCCCTTGTCGGTTTGCCGCAGGGGCGCCTGGCGTGCCAAATTATTTCGCTTTTGGTTTTGGTTCTTTTCCAAAAGAACTTCCCCTGGGGCGTCGGCCCGTCCCGCCAGGGTCCCGGGACGATCTCCCAGGAGCTCAATTCCCGGAAACATCCTGCAAGACGGCCCAAGATGGCCTCCGATATGGCCACGTTGGCCCAAGATGGCCTTCAATATGGTCCGAGATGGCCTCCAAGTCCGCCGAAGATGGTCCAAGACGGCCTCCAAGACGGTCTAAGAGAGTCCAGGTCTTCCAAGAGGTTCTCCAGGAGGGCCCGAAGAGGCCAAAATCATTGCCTAGGTTTTTGAAGGGTTTGGGAATTTGCATCTTCTCGGCCTTCCGACGGATCAAGACGACCCAAGAGGCCCCCAAGATCGCCCCAAGATCGCCCGAGAGGCCTCCAAGAGGGCCCCATGACGGCCCAAGAGGCCCCAAGCCAAGACGGCTCCCGACGGCGTCAGACGGGCCAGAAACCCACCAGGATGGCCGAACTTGGCTCGAAGCTGGTCCAAAAGGCCCAAGAGGCCCCCAAGACGGCCCCAAGAGGCTCCCAAGACGGGCCAAGAGGCCTCCAAGACGCCCATGATGGCCTCTAAGACGGTCCCGAAGCATTCCAAGCGGGCACGAAGTCGGCCCAGAGAGGTCCCCCAAACGGCTTCCGACGGCGTCAGACAGGCCAGAAACCCACCAAGACGGCCGAAGATGGCCCTAAGATGGCCCAAGACGGCCCAAGAGGTCTCCAAGAAGGCCTCTAGGAAGGCCCGAAAGGCCAAAATCATTGATTCCCCACGAACTTTTGAGGGATTGTGGCATTTGTTTTTTTTCGGCCTTCCGACGGCCCGAGACGGCCCAAGCGCCCCCAAAGATCGGCCGATAGCTTGGCAGGTCTGGCCTCAACGTTCGGCCACATAGGCGCTTCCAAAAAGGCAGGGGGCGGCGGTGATTCGCCGTAGGCGTCTTCGATTCTTTTGGACAAGAACCAAAGCCAAAGCCGAAATCGTCTAGCACGCCGGCCACCCCTGTTGCAAGCAACAGGGGGCGGCGGATCCTAGACGCCTACATACGGCGAGCCACCGCCGCCCTGTGAGAGTTTCCTCCGTGGGTCAAGTCCAAACATTATATTGCTAGCTTCTGTTCCGTAGCCGTTGGCTTAGGGGCACCCTCAGATAGCTGCACTTGCAGGCCTCGTCATAACGAAAAGTCCCGCCCTCACTCTGTCCGGTGTTGTTCTCGTTGGTTTTGGACTCACAGTTGGTAGCGGAGCCTCTGGTGCGACCAGGGGCCTCCAGCTTCCGGACATGACAGGCGAAGCTGAAGACGAGAAGACGTCACAGGGCAGTAAGGGCGACTCGTGGGACGAGATGCAGGCAGATGTGGCCTCAGGGAAGGCTTCTCAGTCCGGTTTCACGGAAGAGCAGAAAGCGGAGCTGAAGCGGCTCATGATCGACACGTTCGGTTACTTGTCGAAGACAGACGCGACCAAGAACGCGTCAAGTGTAGCAGAGACCTCGTGGTGGACATCTGAGGGTGCCGGCTGGCGCTCACGAGGTCAGGAAGCTAGCCAGCCTCTAGATCCTTGGATGGAGTCGGACCCGTGGAAGACTCCCGGTCCGAGTTCAGCATGGGAAAGCCAGGGCTCATGGGGGAGCTCGGCTAGTTGGACTCAAGGAAACCCAGGGAAGGACGGCGATCGCGACATGTGGTGGAGCCGCGCCGAACCATCCAAGGACGATCACGAGTGGAGCTCGCAAGGATGGGCCGGCCAGCGCTGGCAAGGATCATCGTGGGCGAGCGACTCGTGGCCCGGCAAGCCGTACAACAGCGAGCCGGACATGGACAATCCACCAGCCTGGATGGGCTGGCCCGACTACAAGATATGGCGACGGCGGGTTCGCCGTTGGCTCGCAGGCACGGACATCAGGCCCTCCAAAAGGGCGGACAGGCTGTTGCAGACGCTAGACCTGGAGATGCAGCGTCGGTTCGAAGATATGCCCGACCAGATGCTCTTGGCCGAGTCCGCGGCGAAGGAGATCCTGTCTCGACTAGACGCATGGAGCGGAGAGCGTCATGATGACGACAGGCGGAAGGCAGGCCGTGAGTGCCTTGTCGGCTACAAGCGGAAGAACAACGAGAGCCTGTCGCAATATTCGGTTAGAATGCAGCAGCAGTTCGACCAGCTCGGGGTCCAGGGCCTCAAGTTGGACGACGAGTGGAAGCGGCTCTTCCTAGAAGAAGGAGCTTCGCTAGATGATTCAGGGCGCCAGATGTTGTGCGTCATGACGCGCGGAGATAGCAGTGTAGCAGCTTTCCATACGGCCATCAAGGAGATGGACATGACCAGGAACGAGTTTCTCTCCAGCACCCCCAAGAAGACCTTCCTGGAGGCATTGCCGGAAGATTCGTCGTTCCCGACCGTCGGCGCCGACGATGACAATAGCAGAGCGATGCGCCGAGTTTAGACACTGACGGTGAAAAGGATATCTTGATGACGCTCGAGAACGCTCAGGTGGACGAAAACGAAGTCGGTGACGTACTGGCGGTGCTCGCCCGAGAGCGGAAGAAGACATGGAAGGATAACGAGACTTTCAAGTGCACTCTTCGTACAGATCGGAAGTATTTCAAGCCTCCAGATCCTGTCGGAGATCGGCCCAGGCGCGAGAAGAAGCAGCGCTTGCCACCAGCGGAGTTGATGAGAGTGACGCACTGCCACAAGTGCAAGCAGAAGGGTCACTGGCAGAGGGAGTGTCCACTGAATACAGGTGCCAGCGACCCAGCCAAGACGTCGTTCTGCATTGGCAGCCAGCCTCAGGGCCAGGGCTCGCGATGTCGACCTTCAACCTGGAGAACGAATCCGGGGCCGTGCTGATGGACGTCGCGAGCCTGGTGGCCGCGACCCTCGCCGAGCTCCGAGGTCAGGGCGAGGCGCTCCCGGCCCCCCTGACCGTCGACGGCGGCTCGATGGTGGTGGGCGCAGCCGCGGGACAGGCCGTCATCGGGATGCCCGCGCTGGAGGCGCTGGACGCCGCGCTGGCCAAGAAGGGCTTCAGGGTCCCTCGAGTTTAAAGCTCGAACCGGCACGCGAACGGCGTCGGCGGCCGCATCGAGGTGGTCGCCGGCATTCTCGTGCCCATCGGTCTCGAGGGGACGGTCGGAGTGATGGACGTAGATGCCGTGCGGCAGGACTTGCTTCCCCTCCTCCCAATCGGTATGCGAGACCTCCTGGGGGCTACGATAAGTCTGCCCAAGAATGAAAGAAATGAGTTTTGACGCCCTCGGAGTGCGTGCCCCGCTGTCCCAGCTACCTTCGGGACATCGGACGATCCGAGTGGATAATCTAGGGGGCCCCGCTGATTTTGCCTGCCCCGCTCCTGTGCTACAAAAGCACGGGATTGCTGAGGACGCGTTCAGGCTGAAGGTCGAGTCCGATCGCATTACCTCCTATCCTGTCTCTTGCTCCTCCTCGGGGCCCTCCTCGGTCTTAGCGGGTTCTCGCAGGGGCCTCTGGGGCCCCGGAAGCAAGAAGACATGCGCGTGGGGAGACGGCGGAACCTACGGGTTCCAGGGGGCGGCTTCAGAAACCAATTCTGAGCAGAGTCAGGGAAGGCGGGGCCCGGAGCTTGGCGCCTCGAGATCCGGGGACATCGAGGACAGGTTCTCGGGGGCGGCCTACCAGGAGGGCCCGATCAACCGGAACGACTGCGCCTCGCCGAGAGCTCCGTCGTCCAGTCGGCCCAGGGCTCCGAGTCGGAGCCCCGCCGGGACTCCGTTGGTAGCTACTGCGCCGGCTCGAGACCTTCCGGCAAGTGCCTCGTCTTCCGGGCTTCACGACACCTTCACCGTCGGCTCTCCGCTCTACGACGTCGGCAGCGGCGGCGGCTGCAGTGAAAGGCGAACCGCAGGCGATTCGATACGAGCCGACCAAGAACGAGGTGCCGATCAACATTATCCAGGAGGAAGAGAAGTGGGCGGGCCTCGTCTCGCGCGTGTTCCAGAGCGCGATCAACATCTGGAGCGGGATCATGTCAGCGTTCGCGACGGGCAGGCTCTGCCCTCGGTCGACTCCTCGGTCGGCAAGGATGCTGACGGCCCACATTGCCGGCCTGTCGGCCCGTGTCTCGATGCATCATCACCAGATCCAGGCGATCCAGAGCGCGTCGGAGACGCAGCAGGCGGCGGCACCGGACGGAGGGTTCCAGGTGGTCTCGACAGTGCCGCCCTCGCGGGAGCAGATCAACCCCAACCTCACGTGAGTCGTCGGCCTCTCGCGCTGGCCGACAAGACGGCGCCCATCGGTCTGATGCAGCAGCTGAGGGCGGTGGGGCCCGCCGAGGACACTCTCGTGATCTCCCTCACCTCCCTTCTAACATCCTCCAACAAGGACCTCGGGGATCCAAGGCAGTCGAGGATGTCTGAGGGGGGCTTCTTATAAGACAAAAGAGAAGTTCGGGGATCGAGGGGCGTTCTGGCTGGAGGATGACGGAAAGTGGCAGGGCCCCCTCGGGACCGTCGAGAAAGGTCAAGTGTCTGGGAAATACTTCGCTCTCTCGATTAATGTGCCAGGCTGGTCCAGCGCCCTTCTCTCCGATTCTCTGTGCGACGATTTTGAGCGCAGTATGCCGGACAGCACAGTTGACAGTGCCTGGTCCGGTCTCGAGGTCCGAGGCCAAGACTCCGACGTTCCAGACTCATCGCAGACCCTGTGGCTGCCCGCGAGCCTTGCCAATGAGCGCAGGAAGCATCGCGGTGAGGCCGCTTGTGTGGAAGTCTTTTCCCCTCCCCGTCTTGCCGGCGCTGCTGCTCGGGCCGGATTGAAATGTCTCGGTTCCTGGGGCATCTCGACGGGCTGGGATTTCACGAAGGCTTCCGATAGGACTCGAGCTAGGCAGTTTGTCAGAGAACACGAGCCCGAGATGTTGTTTCTGGAACCTCCCTGTCGCATTTTCAGCGAGGTTTGGCAGGTTTCGGAAAAGGTCATGGACCCGGCCGAGCGGGCGCGCGCGGTGGCGGAAGGCAAGCTCCTCCTCGGCTTTGCCGTCGAGCTGGCCCGCATGCAGATAGCAGGCGGGCGGTTCTTTGCCTTCGAGCACCCCAAAGGAGCCACGTCCTGGAAATCTCCTCCCCTCTCCAGCCTCCTGGATCTGCCTGGCGTCGGAGGGGTCGTCGTCGATCTCTGTCGTTTCGGGCTGTCGGTCGATGGCAAGGGGCTGAACCAGAAGCCGACGCGGTTGGCCTCGAATAGCCCCTGGTTCCTGGACAGCTCTCGGCATTGCAGGTGCACCAGGGATCACGAGCACGCTCAGCTCGTCGGGGGGCGCGCCGGCGCGAAGGCCAGGATCTACCCTCCAGGTCTGGTTCGTAGGCTCGTTTTCGCTCTGAGGACCCACGTCTCGCGTGCGGCCAGACACTGTTCGCCAGTGGAGGCCGGAAAGCTGGTCCGAAATAAGATTCTGGGTTCTGGAGCTCGTGGGCCCGGTCTCTCTCTTTTCCTCCCTCTGGGCGATGATGGGGCCCATCCTCCAAGCCATGGGCGGAGGGTGTGTGCGAGGTTTCCCCCGGCGGAGGGTGGGGCCTTCCTGGCGGCCTCACATGGGCCCCCTCCGAGTGCGGGAGGCGTCGAACGAGAGTATCCGAGCGCCGACGCCGCCGCTGGCCGGTGCAAAGCTGCTGCCGCCGCGCCTCCACCCGTGCGCGCCCGAGTCGTTCCCGAACGAGGCCCCGGAGGCCGCTCAGGACGACCTTCCAGGGATGGTGGAGGAGGTGGAAGGTCCTGCAGAAGCCGAGGAAGAGGAGACCGGTCCCCGGGAGATCGCGATCGACTCTCGTGTGCGAGCGCTGGCGCAGAAGGTGCATGCCAATCTCGGACACCCTCGAGCGGAAGGATCTCTTTGTGCGAGTGCTGCAGGCGGCGCAGACTCGGCCAGAGTGATTAGATATGTTGTCTCTCAGTTCTCATGCCCAGATTGCCAGTCGCAGGCGCGCCCTGCCGAGCGGAGGAAGACAGCGATGCCGCACGCTTTTCAGTTCAATCGCATTGTGGCCGTGGATACCGTGTTTGTCAATGTTAGGCGAGTCCAGCCCACGCTCAATATAATTTGTCATGGTACGAGTTATCAGATGATGACCCGTTATGACGGGGCAGCCAAGGGAGCCTGGTCCACGTTTCTACGGACGTGGCTCAGGTATTTCGGGGCACCAGACGTCGTCATGGGCGACGGGGGTGGGGAGTTTCTGGGGGAATTCGAGCGGGGATTGGAACGGCACGGCACATGCCATCACGCGTGTGACCCCGATGCCCCCCACCAGAACGGCCGCTGTGAAAGACGCGGAGGCTGGGTCAAAGATCTGCTGGTCAAGGCTGCCGGGGACCGCGTGCTGAGTTCGCTCGATGATTTCAAGTTCTTGCTGTGGGAGATTGTCTCTGCGAAGAATCAGTACCTGCACCGAGGCGGGTTTACCCCGTGTCAGCTCGTGTACGGTCGGAGCCCTGGGGTCCCGGTGGATTTTCTCTCGGACGCGGCCCATAATCCCGTTGCTGTGGGCGATCTCGGGGAGCAGGCCTGGGGCGAGGACGCGGCGGCTCAAGTGTTTTCGCGCGCCCAGTCCGTGCGACGCTACGCCAGAAAGGAGCTCTTTGCTTCATCTTCGGCGGCCAAGATCAATCTGGCCTCTCGGCCCCGGGTCCACCGCGATCAGAAGTTCTTGCCAGGGCACTGGGTTTACGTGTGGCGTCGTGCTCACCGCGCGGCCTCCCGTACGTATGGCCTCCAGAGGGACAGGTGGGTGGGCCCCGGGACGGTGGTGGCCCAGCACCAGAGCCACGTCTGTGTGTCGATCCTGGGTCGCCTCTGGAAATACAGTTCTGATCAGGTTCGTCCTGCCACCAACCCCGAGGCGCGCGGGGCCGAGCTGATCCAAGACGAGGCCGCGCAGGAAATGATCAGGCAGGTCAGAGGGGCGCGAACCTCACAGGAGTTGACGTTGCTCGTGAGGGGCCACCTCCCGTAGGGAGCTCCGCCGAAGGTCCGAGTGGCGGAACTCGCATGCGGTTCTTGCGCCCACTTCAGCGATTCGTGGTCGTGTAGGGAGCTCCACCGAATGTCCCAGTGTCCGAGTTCGCATGCGGTTCTTGCGCCCAGTGCAGCGTTTCGTGGCCCCATAAGAGATTCTACCGATGGTCCCAGTGGCGGAATTGGCGGATCCTGCGCCCAGTGCAGCGTTTCGTGGCCCCATAGGGAGCTCCACCGAAGGTCCCAGTGGCGGAACTCGCATGCGGTTCCTGTGCCCAGTGCGGTGTTTCGTGGCCCCACAGGGAATTCCACCGAAGGCCCCCGCGGCGGAACTCGCATGCGGGTCGTGCGCCCAGTGTTTCTTTTGCCCCATAGGGAGATCCACCGAAGGTCCCAGTGGCGGAACTTGCATGCGGGGTCTGCGCCCAGCGCAGCGCTTCGTGGCCCCATTGGGAAGTCCATCGGAGGTCCCAGTGGCGGAACTCGAACGCGTTTCTTTCGCCCAGTGCAGCACTTCGTGGCCCCGCAGGGGGCTCCACCGAAGGCCCCCGCGTCGGAACTCGCATGCTGTTCCTGCGCCCAGTGCAGCGCTGCGTGGCCACATCGGCCGACGTCGCCCAGGCGTGACCCTGGATTGCGGCCGCCACGAGGTTGGGAACGGCAAGGAGGACGACGATTGGTGGCTGGAGCTTCACGCACTGCTCCTGCGCGCCACGCGCCACTAGGACCTCTTGCGCATGCGGGCGCCGCGGATCGAGTTCTCCCCGGCAGGGCCGCCCGAGAGCTTGCGGAAGCAGCTGGAGCAGTTTGCTGCGCACGCGGAGCGGTGCAGAAGGGAGGCGACGGCCCTCGCCAGGGCGCTGGGCTTCGCCGAGTTTATCCGCCGGGCTTGACCTGTGGAGCGGCCCGCCCCAGTCGCGCCTTCTCTCGACCGTCGAACTATTGGGCCTCGCGCCGCGGACAACCCGCGCGCGTCGCTGGGGCCCTCTCGGGGCGACCGGCGCGCTTCGCGGGAACTCCGCGCCGCGCTCTGCCCGGCGCCTCGCGCGCCCATCGTCGCTCTGCCCAGCGGCCAGAGCCTGGCCCGCCCGCTATCGACCAGCCAGGTAGCTCTCTCCCAGGGCGGCCCCTCGACGCGCCACGCGGGCCCCGGGGCCCCGCGAGCGCGCGGGGGGGGGGCTGAAGACGCCCTTAGAAGGCGCCGAGCGAATTCCAAAAACGGGCAAACAGGCCTCCAAGACAGCCCGAGAACGCTCAAGCGTGGTGCGTTTTTGATATATTTCGCCTCGTCGTCTCATCGAGCTTCCGCGCTCCATGACAGCCCCAGAGGCGCCAAAGACCGTTCCGCGACGGCCCGAACGGCCTTCGAAGGGGCCCCGAGACCAGCCAAGACGGCCCCACAACGGCCCCAAATGCGTCCAAGACGGTCAAGGAGAGCCCCAATACGACTCCAAGAGGGGCCCAAGACAGGGGAACACGAATTTATCAGTCGAGCGTTCCGCCCCGAAGCGCCGCTGAGGAGGCCCCATCGCGCCCCCGAGAATCCCCGGGGAACGCCTGCGAGGCCCCCAAACCCCTATCGGGTCCCTAAGGAACCCAGAGGACGCCCCAAAAGGCGCCCAAACAGCCATCAAGAGGCTTCATAACTGCCTCCCAAAAGTTCTCGACAGGCCTCTTACGATATCCTTGCGAACATCAGCGAGGCTTCTTGCCCACGGCCCATGCGCAGTGGCGGGATGGCCGGAGGCCATTCGACAATCCGCCGCCCCGTGCTGGCTTGCCGCAGGGGTGCTTGGCGTGCCAGTTTTCAAAAAGGTTCTCGGTTCTTTGAGAGCCCCCAGGGGGGTTCTGCCCAGCTCGCTGGCCACCGGGAAAGTTTGCCCACAGGTGGTTGCAAGCGTTTTTCGCGCTCCAGATTGCTCCAATATGGCCCAGCGTGGCTTCCAGGACGGCCACGATGGCCTTCATGTTCGCCCGCGATGGTCCAAGGAGGCTTCCACGTCGACCCCAGATCGTCTAAGATGTCTCCAAACTTGCCCAACAAAAGCTTCCAAGACGGCCCGAGATGGCTTCAAGATGGCGGCAGAAACCTCCATGCAGCTCATGAGGCCTCCAAGAGGTCCCCCAGAAGGCCCGAATAACCCCAGCCTATATTTTTAGGTTATTGTCTCTTTCGGCATCCGGCCTTCGGACGGGATAAACCGCCCAAGAGGCCCCAGATATCGCCTCCAGATGGCCCTTGCGGCCTCCGAGATGGCTCCATAACGGCCCATGTTGCCCCCGAGGCGGCTCCAAGAGGGCCCCAAGACGGCCAAAGAGGCTTCCAAAATGGCCCGAGAGGCGTCCAAAACTGCCAAGATGGCTTCAAGTTCGCCCAAGATGGTCCAAGGTGGCCTCCAAGACGGCCCAAGAGAGTTTCATATACTTCCAAGTTCGCCCGAGAAGCCTCCACGACGGCCCCAGAGGCCCCTAAGAGGCTTCCAGAACGACCCAAGAGGCTTCCTAGAGGTACTCCAGAAGGGCCCGAAGTGGCCAAAATCATCAGTGGTGGGTTTTTCAAAAGGATTTGGGTGTTTGTTTTTCGGCCTGCCGGCGTCCCAAGAGGCCCCGAGCATCGCCCCAAGATGCCACCAAAGGCCTCCAGGGTGACCCCGCGACGCTCCAAAAAGTTCCAAACGGCATCCAAAGAGCTTCAAGACGGCCCAAGAGGCCTCACAGACGCCCCAGATGGCCCCCAAAACGCTCCGCAATTAAGGCCCCCAAGAAGCTTCCAAGACAGCACTTCATGGCCCAAGAGGCCCCACACAGGCCGTCAAGACGGCTCAAGAGGCCTCTCAGAGGTCTTCCAGGGGGGCTGGGGAGGCCAATCTATGTTTTGAAGGATTGTGCCCGTTGTTTCTGTTCGGCCTTCCGCGGGCCCAAACGGCCCAATAGCCAAGTCAACATCGCCCCAAGATAGCCCCAATGGTCTCCAAGATGATTCCGCGACGCCTCAAGAAGCCCCCAGGACGGCCCCTAAGACGGCCCAAGAGGTTTCCAAAACGCCCAAGATGGCCTCCAAGACGGCCCTGGAGCGCCCTGAGAAGGCCCAAAGACGGCCAAAAGAGGCCCTCCCAGACGGCTCTCGACGGCGTCAGACGTGCCATGAGCGCCATACGACAGCCAAGAAGGCCCCCAAGAAGCTCCCAAATGCCGCCAACAGGCCCGAGGAGGCCTCCAAGAGGCCCCCAGGGAGCTCCCAGGAGACCCCCAAGAGTGCCCCAATAGGCTGCCGAGACGCCTCCTCCGTGTTCCTCCTGCTCCTCTTTTTCTGATTATTATTAATTTTCTTCTTCGTTTTCTTAGTCTTATTATTTTGCTCCGTGTTTTTATTATTCGCGTATTTACCTAACATCGAAGACTGATGGGTTTCTAGTGGGGTCAGAAGAGAGCATCTTGACTCCCCAGGGGGGTCTGGGCGGGATCCGGACAGATCCGGACAAAAGTGCCAGCCCCAGGAATCCTTAGGAATCTTTAGGAATTCTTAGGAATCCTTGGGAATCCATTCCCAGAGCACCACTCCCAGGCCACATTTTGAATGCCCGGAGCCAACTGTAGGCCACTTCGTGTTCTTCGTGTTCCCAAAACACCACTCCCAGGCCACAGTTTGAATGCCCGGAGCCAGCTGTAGGCCACTTCGTGTTCTTCGTGTTCCCAGAACAGCATTACCAGGCCACATTTTGAATGCCCGGAGCCAACTGTAAGCCACTTCGTGTTCTTCGTGTTCCCAGAACACCACTCCCAAGCCACATTTTGAATGCCCGGAGCCAGCTTCAGGCCTTTTCGTGTTCTTTGTGT